CCGCCGTCCTCACAGCGGGGTAAGTCGGCTGCGATATGTCGAATTCAGCTACACTATTCGCGTAGCTGAATTTGCGTATCTTAAATCGACCCCCCCCCCGTAGTGTAGATGTAGCCTCAGTCTGTATATAACCTAGAGAGTTTTGAGTAAGTAATATAAACGCTCTTCCCAAGTCTGCATCTCTGCTTGCTTTTACTGTTAACTACTGAACCCTCTTCATAGCTCCCCAAGTCATGGCTCTCCAGACTCTAGCATGTGCAGAATGGTGTTGCTTGCCTTCCTACATACCCCACCCAAAGAACTCTCGGTTACCACTGTTTCAAGATCCCATTCAAAATTGCCGTCCTTGTTTTCACATCCTGCATGAATTTCTCTTCTCCCTCACTTTTTTTCTAGCATGTGCCTCCTCTATCTTGCCATTGTTTAGGAAACCTGCTTTTCTGCAGCTTCTGACACCTGGCAAAATCTAATATTTTTTTTCCCCTCTCAGCTCTTCAATTTTATCTGAAAACCTCTTTTCTCCTGTGCATAGAACATCATTGCCCTCTCAGATTTAGGGTGGGAAAAAAAGCACGGATTTAACGCTATAAAGCCTTTTAGGATGCAGTTTGTGTGAAAGGAGCTATGTACACAACAAAATGCATTGTAATGTTATCATACCCAATGGATTATGGGACCTTGAGCACAATTTGGCCACTCAGTCAAGTTGCTCTGTCGTCATTACATGTTAGTATGGTATGGCTATAATGAAGACCTTTTTATTTGAAGGTAAAAGTGAAAAATAAGTAAAAATGCTACATTTCAGCTACACTAACCCTGTACATTCTATTTCAAATGGCCTTGGCACATAGTAGAGAGCTTTTCAGATAATGTGAGATTATGAGATGTACATCAGCTTTGGAATGTACTCAAATGTCAGTTTGCAAAGATGGAAGAAAAGCAACATGTTTGTTATGTTGCTGCATCTTGAAGCAGGGAGTAGAAGAATGGATCTGAGGTCTGAGTAAAGAAGACACCAGCAGCAGCAGAGGATTGGCTCCAAAATTTGAAAAACTATCACCTTTCTCCTGTCAGCATGCCTGGGCTAGTGTGACATGCAGGCTAATGGGACATGGCATGTGGTAAGTTGCTCATTCAGTACTTTTTCCCTTAAGGTGTGTCCTCTTTTTATTTTATTTATTTATTTGTTTATTTTTTAATTTAAATTCTATCACATGCACTCTTACATAGCGAAACTCAGTTACACATGCTAGGCCTGATTCCTTATGCTTAACAGTTCTGCAGGCAGAGCCACTGCAGGATCAGGCCTAATGTAAATGCAATACAAGATGAATACTTGAATTCAATTAACCATCACCGTCCAAAAATTCTAGCATTTAACCATGCCCCTTGAAATGACCTCAGTCTTCTTTTGTAGGATTGCTTAGTGGCCAGAGTCTCAGCTTTGGAATACTTAAACCAGTCTCTGCTATAAATACAGCCCTTCATCTTTCTTAAACAGAAAACAGAGTAACATGTAGGTTGTGAAGGTGGTCTCTTGAATTAGACCTTAAACCTGAAGGTACTGTATGCCTTGTGTGGATGTTAATTCCATGTGATCTTTAACCACAGCCATTGTTGTGCTGTGCACTATTTGTCTGCTGCCATCCTCCCCAGAGGTGACTGTATTTCAGTAATAGTATATATACAGTATTTATGAACTTCGTGATCCTTCAGGGGTCTTTATAAATGTAAAATTATTACTCAATCTCTGGCCACCAAGCAAAGAAATGTAAGATTATATTTATATATTTAGAGAGACAGAGGATTTGTATGGTGGTGGCAGCGGTGCTGGGGCATGGAAGAAAGCAAAATAAAAATAGTCAGGTTACCCTTTGATTTTTGCACATCTGCTTTTGCCCTGTCTTGGTATACTTTAAGTGCATGTTTCCCAAACTGTTATCTACTGTGTTGTCTGCAGCGAACCCATATAATGCAGGTGTCAGGGATATGAAGGATGTGTAGTAATTGTTATCCAGTTTTACCCCGGCTGGCAGAAAAACAAACACTTTGTAGGATTGAATTTTCCAGAAATTATTCACTAAAGGTTCTATTTTGCCCATGTGTGTGGTTTGTAAAAACATCTACTCTGAATGTGTATGCAACTAAGTAAGATATAGGGCATTACATCCAGACATAAGTTTTATGATGATTTTTTTTTAAACATTCAGATACCAATAGATGATTTGTAAGCTCTTTAAAATATCATTAAGAGAATTCTATTGGGTGAATGCAGTAGGTTAGGGCATGGGGGTGGGGGCATGATTTTTAGTTTGTGCCTTATGACCACTGGGCTGGGGAGGAGGAGGAATGGATATTTAGTGTTTCCCTCACATCAGAGTTTCAAATGTTACCGCATTTGAAGAGAGGCACTGTAAAAATCCTTGTCTGCATATATAAGCAACACCCTGGCTGCTAGCTAACTGCAAACATGCAACATTGGGAACAGAACCTGTAACTTGAAATTCTGTTAAATTGCCTAGTACTCAGCTCATTCACTGGGAGGGAGGATGGGAGCAGTTATGAGATCCATGATATGAAGTTGTTAATTGGTTCTTGTTTTCTTTACAGTGCTCCAGTACCATCAGCCAAAAGAGAAATGTAGAAAGACCACAATGAACTGAAGAAGCATTTGAGGATATGTTGCGTGTTCCAACTGTTGGATGCTTGGTAAAAGTGGGGTTAAAGTATCAAATGAATGCTCGTTGTCATGTGTGCTGTAAGCAATGACTGGTGTTCATTATTTGTGGGTGAGAAGCATTTGTACAGAAATCTGTACAGATGTCCTTCTGTACCTGCAGTTTGTGTTGGGCTGAGGGTGGCAGGTGCAAGTTGGGATACACAGCACTATAAAAATGTTGTAATGCTTTCTTTCCATTCTCCTTTCCTGAAGGAGGAAGTAAGAAAGTAACATATCACTTGTCTTCATTTTAATGTATTTAAAAATCTCTTTAATAAAACTTTCCATTTTGTTTTTAATGAAAAAATGTGTGGTCACTAATATCTTTGGCAAACTTATGTATTAATATTGTGATGTGTGCAAGTGTTCATTTGGGGCACTTGTCTCCCTGAAAGGCGTAATAAATGCAGCTTGAATTACCTTTACCCTTTGGTAGAAGGTGTATATCTTAAATCTGCCCTCGTACAGCCATAACTTGCACTTCTGAAAATTGTTTTTAAGATTAAAGCTAATAACTTCTGTGGTTTTGAACCATATAACTGGCGCAGAGTTTCTCATTAACCGTAGTACTAGGGAGAGTATGGAGCTCAGTCTTGAAAGGTCTTCTCATGCAAAATTCCCATTGTCATCAAGGAGAGCTCTGTTTATGGGTGGATATACAGGTTTAAGCCCTCAATTAGTCATCAGCAAGTTTTCAGTCTTCTTTGGGGTAACTAAAACAAGCATTCTAAACTTCCTGGCCTGTGCTTAACGTAACAATGAACAGCTCTGCTTGGATTCAAGTCTGTAATGACTGTTACTGGTGCTCTTAACTTGGAAAATAAAGCTTGTCCTTGAGCTTGGTCATGAACCATGCACCATATTGGGTGCCAGTATATTGTATGTTATACCGACAGCTACATTGGAAGTCAGAACACATTAATATATACACAACAGAAGTGCAGATACTAAATAATGGATGTGGAGAAAAGTTTTTCTTATTTGGGTATCCTATCTTTGAACAAAATGAGCAAATCTGCTAACAGAAAATAAGTCTTATTTCCACCCTCCACTTCTATTTACTCCTCCAATCTGCTACAGCTGACCACAAGCACATGTGGAACCTGCAATTGAAGGCAGCTTCCAATTCCCAGAGGCCTGTAGTTTTCACAATCTGGTAGAGGTGCTGAGGGCCCTGTTACATTGTCAGTGGTGGGAAATGGAGTAAAGCTATGTGGGCACGAAAGCTGACTCTGGTCATCCCTATATCTCTGTTTGGAGAGATTCTTCCAGCAAAAAGCCAGACTTGACATCTTCAGGTGGGAACACAGTTTTGTTTGTTTGTTTTTACTTGTTTTGTAATAGGAAAGGACCAGATCATTAGGAAAGTTTACAAGCTAGGCAAATAACAAACAGGAAAAATCCAGGAAGTCCATAAATCTCTATCCAGTGCACAACCTACAACCACAAAAAAGGAAAATATTGCTCCCAGTATAGTTAGAGTGTAATAGAGCCTTCAGGACCATTCAGTGACGTGGTGGTGTCATCAGTTACATCTTGTAGTGTAGGAAGCTGTTATTTCAATGATTGCCTAGCCCAGGTCAAAATTTAAGGAGAGACTGTGTTTAGTTAATCTGTGAGACGAGAACCAAAGAGATATACAGTGGCCTTCATAAAGATTCCCCTTGATATTCATTACAGTTGAATCTTGTCTCTATCATAAGACATCATTCTCCTGCAGAACAGTAGAATATAGACTGATGCCATTTATTTTTTCAAGGCTGCACAATTCTCTGTGCAAAGTATACTTGATGAGGTGCACATACGACCTATCATATTGGCCAGTGCAAAATTATGTACAGATCTGCATGCTGTGGTGTGTTAGCCTGAGGCTACAATAAGAAGATTTGGCGTCCTGTTTTGAGTGCTAAGAAGATAATGTCTGTCTATCCATCTTGGAAGGCATGGGAGCATGCAGAACTCTGAAGAAATATGTTTGGAAGGGCCTGATCTGGCAGCGTGCAGGCAAAACTACCATTGACTTTATAGACATGGGAGTTTGCTTCTATTAGGACTGGAGTGTTAGACCGTAAGTGGGTATCAACCTATGCAATGCTGGGACACATGAGCGAAATTGTGCTCTTATTCATATTTCATAAAGCTAGCTCCTTGGCCATTTCAATTTCACTTCTTGACTGTTTAATTGAAAGTGTTTAAATATGAACTACAATTGTTTTTATACTAAATAATAGAGGAAAACCTCTCAATATTATACTGAAGAGGACAGTTACATAATACAGTACTGGTAACAACTTTAGCCATAGGGGAAACAAGGCTTTGAAATATTTATGCTTCTCTTTAGCTAAAAGATAATTTAGAAATTAAAAACCATGAGAGGATGGTAACTGCTGACATTGCTGCACACTAGTTCTCTGTAGAAAGATCATTTGATCTGAATTGGAGATAAATATTTTTAAATCCATGGCACACGAACTTAATCATTCATTGTATGTTGTGTTTTTCATTGCCATTTCCTTTATTCTTGGTAGAATTCCAATCCAGCATATTGCTCTCAGACCATTTCAGTATATTCTGAGAACCTGTCAACACAATATACCCAGAGGTCCTTGGGCCTCAGGTGCCAGAGCAATGAATGTCCCTCTAACTAGTGACTAAAAGTATCTATTATTAAATAGAGGTACCATTTTCTGGGATGTTAGTCGCAAGATATTAGATTTATCACTAATTTTTGGTTTGTTTTATGTGGGCACATTTGGGAGCAGGAGATGATGCAGGCTACCTTCACTCAGGCCTAAAGCACCTGAGAAGGCAACAGACAGAATCCAGCTCTTGTTCTTGAGTGCAAGACTGGGGTACATGTGGTACTTTTTTGTGCCAATAAGTTGTCAGTAGCATGTAAGGAGTATGGCTCCCCTTATGCTTCCTAAGGCATTGTTTATGTCTTTCTTGTCCAGGCCAAATGCCTCAGAATCCCTCTGCTTGGCTAGCCCCTCCAGCAAGGAGCAGGGCACAGTTTAAACCTCTCTTTGCAGAAATAAGAATTATGGTAGTCCTCAGCCCATGTAGTTCACTGAGGACCCCGATCATTCCCCAGTACTTCTGATTTATAGTCCTCTGGTAGTTCATGAAAGATCCTGTGGTACTTCTCAGGATAGCTAGGTAAGAGTGGGCTCACTGACTTGTAATAGCTGAATTCCAGCACTGCTTTGTCCTTAGAGAACTTATGCTTTGCTAGAAGGAAAGTTGACAGACAGTACATATAACTGTGCCATCTTCTGCTTGGCATGCAGTAAAGAACATTCTAGGCACTGACTTGAAAAATCTTGTAGTGTCAACATACAGTGACCTTAGAAATTGTATTAAATCATACTGGTCACAGAATGAGGTTTTTCTGCTGCTGATATAGTCTTTCCTGGATTTGTTAATGGATTCCAGCCAGTCTCAAAAGCAAGTTAAGTGTGAAGACTACATTATTAAAATAGTGTGGTGGTTAAAAAGCAAGGAGACTTGCCCTATGGAATATTGTGATAACTCTGATGTTGAATACAAATACAAAGTGCTTGCTAAGTGAGATGATAATTGTAGTGACAGACCATTCTTGCACAATTGTAGACATTGGAAAAGTGATAAATACTCAGTTAACATCATACTTCTGGTGTGGTCCTAAACAGGACTTATTTTCAGTGAACAAATGGGGAGAGATAAATTAATGTCTCATTCTAAGACCAGTCTATCTGCCGGCCAAGTGCAGCTTCCAAGTTCATCAAAGAGTGGGGTAGGCCTGTTATCTGGAACTAGAGGAACTGGGCTCTGTGATAAATTTCTGGCATTTTAAAATAGTTAGCTCAGAATATGCAATAGTGAGTTCAGAATACAAGTGTTCCTCTCCAGTCAGTATTACTCCACTTTCTCTGATCCCATCTGCAGTGGTGGCCCTAGGAAATGTAGACAACTAAATGTTTTCTATTAGATCAGTGTTTCCCAAACTTGGGACACCACTTGTGTAGGGAAAGCCACTGGCTGGCTGGGTTGGTTTGTTTACCTGCCCCGTCCGCAGGTCCGGTCGATCGCGGCTCCCACTGGCTGCGGTTCGCTGCTCCAGGCCAATGGGAGTTGCGGGAAGCAGTGGCCAGTATGTCCCTTGGCCCGTGCTGCTTCCAGCAGCTCCCATTGGCCTGGAGCAGCGAACCACGGCCAGTGGGAGCCACGATCGGCCGGACCTGCGGACGGGGCAGCTAAACAAACCGGCTCGGCCCACCAGGGGCTTTCCCTACACAAGCGGCGTCTCAAGTTTGGGAAACGCTGCATTAGATCATTTAAAACAGTGGTTCTCAAATTGTGGGTCGGGACTCCAAATGGGTCGGGACCCTGTTTTAATGGGGTCGCCAGGGCTGTTGTTAAACTTGCTGGGCCCCGGGGCTGAATCCAAAGTCCAAGCCCCACCGCCCAGGGCTGAGGCCCTCAAGCTTCCACACCCACCTGAGGTGCGGGGGCTTAGGTTCATGGAGTCTTGTAGTAATTTTTGTTGTCAGAAGGGGTCATGGTGCAATGAAGTTTGAGAAACCCTGATTTAAAATATTCAAGATAGTCCCTTCAGCAAGAACAGAAAGATAAGGAAATATTGTAAATGCTAGGATACCTGTATCTATTTTGGTAAGGAAAAAATTGGCAAGATTTCTATAATTAAACATTTATGGGTTGGTAGCGCCTGAAGATCACAATCAGGTTAGGCCCCATTGTGCTAGAAGCTGTACGAACACAAAAAATACCTTTCGGAGTTTAACAGGGAGGGGATTAATCCCTTTCTTCCAGGTAAAGCAGGGCCGGCTCCAGGGTTCTGGCTGCCCCAAGCAGACCAAAAAAAAAAAAAAAAAAAAAAAA